CTTCGCGCGCTTCGCGCGGCTTCGCCCGGGCTTCGCGCGCGCGCGCTTCGCGCGATCTTCGGGCGCGCGCGCTCCGCGCGCACGCTTCGCGCGCTTCGCGTGTGCGCGCAGTCTTCGCGCACGCGCTTCGCGCTGGCTTGGCGCGTCCCCAGGGCGGATCATTCTGGGGAGTTCAGGAACGGTCCTTGCTCCCACACTTCACTCTTGAGGAAAGAATAAGCAGCTGGCACAGACCATTCGTTCCCAAACTCACAGATGCTCACTTCCACATGTCCACTCAAACGACGTGTCATGTACTGAAAAGTATTCACCGCAGTGTGGACAAGCAGCAAGTTGGTCATGTCTATCACAGCACCGGTTTGGGTCAGCAGGTAGGCGGGCAAAAGGCACGGCACACTGCCCGGCACCACTTGAACCCTCAACACTCACGCCTGGCCACCAAGCCCGATTGGGATGTAGGCTTCTTTGTGACCCACACACACCGCGCACTGTGCCACCTTGCTCCGCTGTGATGTGGACCCGGAGGCTGTAGTGCTGTTGCAGGTAAGCATCATGCTTGTGCAGAGTTTCTTCACCGATAAGACCATGTTGGGCAGCGGTGTCAACCAAAGCACAACCCCCAGCATCTTCAGTGGCACAAGCATACATGTAACTCAGGAAAACCTCGGAACAATCAGCCACGTATGCTCTCTCGGCAGACAGCGGCTCCAGGTCTCGATCTTGCTCTGTCTTAGAGCACTCTCCTTCAGCAAAGGCAGTAAAGGCAGGGCTGGTTCCATTCAGAGCCTGGTCCAAAGCACTTCACCTCGGCTACTCGATCCCATCGTCGGCTCCATCATGAAGAACATGTTTGCAGTGGGAGGCGGACCGGAGTTCCGCGGCGCCGGCGATGGTGCGCTTGGCCTGGTACTCGGCATCGAGGGCCAACGCCTCTGCTGGCAGTCGCTCCAATGCCTAATCTGATGACACTGGTGGCACCGGCTCCTGTTCTTCAAGTCTTGCAAAGATGTCCTTGGCCGGTTCGGCGGGCGATCACCAGGTCCGCCAATGTAGCCTCGCCTGTCGCGGGCGTCCTGAAGAGCTCTCCGGTGTTCGGCATAAGTCCCGTAGATGCCGAAGCCTTTTCTCCATGTTTGGGTGGACTATAGCCCTTTCCTTTGCCCTCGGACTTGCCTATGTAGCGCTTGCCCTTGCCTTTGCCTTTGGAGGCCCATCTCTCGGCCGTCTCGGCGTACACGTAACTCATGAGCTCCCCCGCATACTGGATCGCCTTGATCTCCTCCAGCATAGGTGGAAGAACTTTTTCCAAGTAAAGGCACACCTCGCCGGAGTCATCCATCTCCATCAAGTCCTCGAAGATGGTGTCCTCGCCTTCATAGCGGCACTGATACAAGGTCCTCGGCCCAGTCGTCGCCGTCATCGTCATCCTCCTGCCTGTAGGACCCCTTCGTCTTGGGCTCCGGGGCAGCATCCAGCGTGTCATTGAAGATCCTGCGGATGGCAGCCTCGACCAGTTTAAAATTGATTGAACCATCCGTCAAGACTCTGATGCGCTGCCGCTCGTCCTTTGTGAATCCACCTTGCGGAAGAACAAGGTGGCCCAATAAGTGCTGCCCGGCCTCCGAGTCGAGGAGGTCGAGGCCACGCTTCTTGAGCTCGGCGAAAGCAGCCCGTTTGCTCGCCAAGAAACCTGTCAAGGTCTGCCCCGCTCTTCTTCTGCCACCAAAGATAGTGACTGTGAATCCAACTTGGCGACCTTCAGGTACTCATGCGCTTCCTCTATAATCGAGACCACAGTCGTCCAGCCTTCCGGAGCCGTGATCTCCTCCACAGTGAAGCGGGCATGGGAGGCGTTCCTGAGCTCCGAAAAGCCAAAGCTTTAGGGTCCGGGCATATTTGCGAAACTGCTCTTCTGGATGCTCGCCGTCCCACTGCGGCGCTGCTTCCATCCGGAAGTCAGAGTACTTCCGGCCACCGCCTGATCCATCCAGGCTGCCGTCATAGGTAGGAGGCGCACCAGCAGCCGGTGATCGAGGCCTGATTGGCGAGGTCGGGTGGCGGTTCGGCGAACCTGTTCTCGCTGCACCATCACCACTAGCCGTTGTAGAAGGTGACAAAGTTCTTGCAAAAAGCCTTCCCGGTCGGGAAAATCAGGTAGCCGGAAAAGGTGTGGTCCCCGAGCACGTACGGGCGTCCCCGTACAGCAGCCGCGTGGTCTCGGAGCACTGGTCGTCGCCAGCGCTCCGCTACCATGTAATACGTAGCAACGCAGGCAGGAAAACAGGACTTCCTATTTTGCACAGCTCAGGGCGCCCGTGTCGGCAGCGGCGAGTCGGGTCACTTTGCTGCGGAATACATGCCACTCTGGTGAACATCTTCAGACACAACTGACCTGACAGACCTGGGATTACTGTCATCTGTTCCACAGGGGGCCAAGTTGCCAACAATTCTATCATTGCAACGCATGTGCGCGCTGTCACACTGGCCTGTTCTGCAATTGCTGCAGGCGGCTGGCCACCTTCTTCAGCGCCCTCTCGGCCCGCTTCCGCTTCTCCCGCTCCTGCAGTGAGAAAAAACCGAATGCAGCAGAAGTGCAAACGCGCGCGGCAATCAAATGGCATCCTGGAGGACGAGGCACGTCAAAGCTTCCAGCGTTGGCTGCTGGAGATCAACATCGTCCTCATCATCCTGACAAGATGCACTAGATCAGGCGCTTGACATGAATTTGCACTCGGAAGGCACACCTCCCCGAGATCCAAGTCCGGCTCACTACGAAGTGCACGCTGATTGGATGCAGACACGATTTCTTGCCTCAGCTGTAAAGGGAGGGTCGAAGACTGCTACGGTCCATGGTGCTTGAATCCTTGACAAGATGCTCCTCCAGATCGTCGAAGTCCATCGGTCCGTGCCACAAACCCAACAAGTTACAGCGTGCTAATAACAAAGCGAGTTGAAGATTTCGGCTTTCTAGTGCACGGCTCTGGCAACCAATGCTGAGGCATGTGTCATTTCTGCGACTTGTCATGAACAACCTGCCTTAGTAAGCCTGCTGCTTGTGAGGACTTGGCAGCAACTACGGAGAGCCTCAACTTGCGATGAATGTATGTAGCATGTTCGTTGCAGGGGTGGAACACGATTTCGGACATCTTCCCAGGGGGGTATCTTGGTGACTCGCAAATCCGGCCTTCGCCAATCCAGCAAGGACAGCACTCTCCACACTAAAGGGCCAGTCCTGAGGCGAATTTGGCTGGGAGATTGCAGTGCAGCCAAGGGTTCACGGAGTTCCTCCTCGCCCAGGCCAACAGCCCCTTCACTGAGCTGCTATTGGTGGCCCACTCGGAAACATTGAACTCGCCTGCATCCGCCGCGGCCTGGGTTTCGAGTTCGGCGAACTTGGCAAGTTTCAAACCTCCCACGGCCTTCTCGCACATGGCCAACCTCTCCTGTGGCCCCCAAGCCCTGCCAGATATTGATTTGGCTGTGCAATGCTGTGCAAGGCTTCACCTTCCCAACCTGATTCGCGTTCCTCGACGAACATCGACGACAAGCCCGGCCGGAGATCGGTCGGGGGCCTGAGCACACTCTGTAAATTCGCCTTTCAACTGAAACATAAGGCCAAGAGAGGGAGGCGGAGGCTTGTTGACTTTGTAATCTTGTTTTAACTTTGAAATAAATAAAGCTCTCTGTCTCGCCTTTGCAGGGCTGAAAAACACACCAGCCCTGTTGTAAACAAGCTGTGCTTATCACATCTCTGACACGGTTTCCACATCACACGGCCCGCAAGACTCAACAGTTGAGCTTACCTGCACAGTGACTTGCCAGCAGGTCGTCTGGCCAAAACGGCGAAAAGTCCAGTGCGAAGGTCGCCATATTTTCGAAGACCTTCGCGCAAGTCAAGAGGTGCACCTCTGGGCTGCATCGCACTGTTTAGAAGCGTCCGTTCCAAAGCAAACCCTTCTCACCGCCGCAGTTGGAGAGCTGTGGCACCGGTGGTACATCGCTCCATGAACCAGCATCCAGTGCAGATCGTGCGAGCTCGAATAGAGGCATGAACTGGCACGGATGATGATAGTTCCTAAAACCATCCCAGCGGCTCCACTCGGTGGACATGCCCAACATGAAGCGGAAACCATGTCAAACAGTCGCTGGCGGGGCTTCTACCCACGCAAGGAATGCAACCACCCTGTGGCCACAACCAGCGTGTGTCCAGATGTGTCTCCTAGCTTCGGCGCGCAGCAGTTGCGATTACCTAGCATAGGCAGCCTACCGATGTCCGCGATGTAGCACTGGGCAAGATACTGAGCCATCAAAGCATCACAGCCCGTGCTCCATCTGCTTGAGCGCAGATGTCGAGCCGTGGTGCTTAGGTAAGGAGAGGCAGAGAGAGAGGGAGAGAGTGAGAAAGAGTGAGAGAGAAAGAGCAGGCAGACAGACAGAGACGGATGAAATGAACAACGGAGGCCGTGGAAGTCAACGGGGTGTGAACGACATGTACTTGGATGCGGACATCCCACGAGAAAAGATTGAGAATACGCGTTGCTGCGTTCCCTTCTGCGCTCCTGCGCCTCCTTCTCTCGTCCTAAGCATCAAACTGTCTTGGTGAGGAAGGGACCTTCTTGACATACTTGTGCAAGATCAAGCAAAAGTATAAAAAAGGCTTCAGCAAGTAAAACTTGCGCTGATCAGTTTCTAGTTGAGTGCTCATCATGTACACACGTGCTGGGAAAAACCTTTGGCCACCTTTCTGCAAGTGCCTACCATCCCTATAATCCCCGGCAGAGAGGGAAAACACGGGCGGACAATGCGCAACGAGTCGAGTCTGAGGAGCAGGCTGCAGGAACGCCCGTCCTGTCCTGAAACGCTCGGTGCCAGGAAAACGTCCCTCTTCACATGTGCAGCTGGTCCCGTCTTGGATTCCGGCGATTCCGGCGGTTGGCAAGATGGGGCCTGGATTGAGTCCACGCGCCTCCGGAGCTCGTGCTACAGGCATGTTCCGCAAAAGAGGGGACGGAGAACTCTTGCCGCCGACCTGTCGGAAGAGACTTCGTAGGTGCCTGCACCATCCCGTGGATGCCTTAGAATGCCCAATGCCCTTTCGCAGCCAATGCATTCCGAGCATGCTTCCCGTCTCTGGCCTCACGGAGCTCTCTCCAGCCATCCAGCCAGGGGTGATCCTCGTGCAAGGCTCTCTGAGGCGCTCAGTGCATGCAGTGCTTCCAGATCCTTATTCCAGCCTCCAGCTCCAAGCGTAGAGGACCCAGGAGTAGCACACCACCAAGCGGCGCCTGAGGCCAAGGCCAATCTCGAGCCAAGCCCGCGTGCCGCGTCGAATGCCGGCTGCCAAGTGGCTCCGTTGCGGCTGGCAAAGGTCATGGCTGCATCTCGACTGGCGAAACCCCTGCAAAAGCGCGCACCACATAAGGAGCGACGGCAAGAAGCTTTGCACACAGCCTCTTCTGCACTGCCGAAGCCCAGCCCTCCGCATGATGTTTGTAGCAAATCTCGCAAAGATCGTAGTCACAGCCTGCAAAGAAAAAACGAAGGCGCCCCGGTACTGGGTGGCGGGACGTAAGGCAAGGCGGTCAGAGCGTCGCCATGCAATTTGAGAGGCCTTTCTGGGGTTTCGTCCACGGACAGTCTGCTGCTTGCAGCAGACCATCTTGGGATTCCGTGCAATTGATACTGCCGGCCCCACTTCCTGTTTGCAATGACTATTTGCCGTCCGCTTCGGTTTCTCGTGGATGCTGCTGCCTTGGGCCGCACTTGCCCTGTTACTCCAAACTTCACAGGTGCAGCTATTCAAGTCTCGCTTGTAGCCTATCTGAATTTCATACCTCAACACGGGGAGTGTCACACTGCATGGCTTCGGCCAGCCGCAGAGCATCCCAAACCATGGCAGAGCATGGCAATGGCAGAATAGCGAATCCTCGCCGTAAGAATCCGTATCCTCTTGGAAGAGTCATCATCGGGCTCGTCGCCACTCGTCGTCACTCGAAACCATGACGGATAAATGACGTGCGAAAAAGTAATTGCAAAACCTTTTGGATGCAGGGTCTGGCTGCATCGGGTACTTAGGTCTTTGTTGTCTGTCTTGTTCGCTCAAGGTAGCTGCAGAGCAAGCACTTCAGCAGCAAGTAGCGAAGACAGAGACAACACTGAGAGAAACATAGACAGCGAGCCATCCAATGATTTCGCTCGCACCTCCTCCGCAGCGAGCAGCTGTTCCCCTCCGAGAACATTCGTCGCAGATGTGCCCGGTCTGAGTGTCGAGAGTCGATGGAAGTCAAAGCCGAACAAGGCCTGATGCTTGGGAACGGACCCGGGACCAGTCCTTTCAAATGAACTCGATTCTGATTCTGCCATCCCATGCAGGCAAAGAGGATAATTTTGGCGTCCTGTCGCATGGCGTGGCCTTTCGGGCATTTAACCTCTCGCATGCCGCTGCTTCCATGCCCATCTTCCTGTAACATCAATTTTTCATAGCTAGGACCACTTGATGGTGGGCCATGCCTGAGTCCAGTAGGCCATGAACATCTCGAGTTCCGCGCCCTGCCACAAAGCCACATTAACTACATTGTCCGATGGCCAACCTGGGGTCTGACCAGACCTGTGCCACGTGGCAATCTTCTTCGATGATCCCTGGGATATCGTGGCATCTCTAAAGCTATCGCCCCTCTGTGTGCAACTGGTGTGCAGGCCTCGGAGCTCGCCATCATGCAAGAGCAAGCGCATGATGCACTTCCCAGGCCTGCAAACCATGTGTGCTATGTATAGGCAGTATACGCGTGTACCATCTTGCACCTTTCCTGGCAATGCTTTCGCGAAGACTCGGCACCCAGCTTTGCTTTGAAGCACACCATATCTTCTTCCTGCGCTCACCGGGATTTGGCACTTGCAGAGAGAGCTGGTGGGGGTAATCAGGCCTCTCCACTTCCCCAGCCAGCGACATGGCGGAAGATCTTGCCCTTGTTTGTGCGGAACTCCAGTGACGATCCTGGTTGCACAAGATGCAACGAATTAACGGGATTGCCTGCGTTGCGCGGAGCCTACGTACCACCACTGCGGAAGACTTTCGTGACGCACCTGCCATGTAAATGGCCCGCACAGTACGGAACTGGTGATTCAGCAACATGGCAGAACACAGAGCACTTTCAAATTCTGGAATTTACATAAATACGTTCAGCAACCCAAAACATCCAAACATTCTGTGTCTGTGTCTGTGTCTGCGTCTGTGTCTCTCTCTGTCCTCAACACAGCCAGAAGGGGTCAGCGGATGCCTCCCCCCCGCGCGATTTCATGCACTGGGGAATCACGTGCAGACTGTTTCGAGTGGGCTCTCCAAAAGCTAACAAAAACCCTACAAGCGGTGCCGGGTACCCAGTTGGAGACTCTGCAGCACAGTCACAACGTTCGCACAGCTACAACATGTTCCCGTCTAGGTTTGCTGGCCCCCATTCTCCATACAGAGTGGCATGCTTCTGAAACGGCCCCCCTGACATAACATGTCAGGGCAGTCAGGACCAGAAAAGATTCTGCAGCATGACAAAAACTCTGCCTGACACACGTCACACAGCACTGTCTCTCCTGTACACTTCCTAGTGCACGCTGCCCTTGGCACACTTCCGCTCTACTGACTGAGCTGCCGAGCTGGCAACGTACCCAAAGATTGGCGCCCCTACCCCTAGCAACTTGTAGTTTGGCCCGTACACTCTTAGTCAGTTAGTCGCTATCATCGGAACGGAAATCCGGGGACTCGCCTGCGGCACCCTATCGGGCTCACTTGTCGTCTGATACGCTTCCCCCGCCAGAGAGTAGCCGCATGTGGGTCCCGCGAGGCAGGTCCACTCGCCGCTGCTACCGTATGCGGGCAAATCCCCGCTGTTGATCGGTGCAGTACACCGGTCAGCTCCGTTGGTCGAGGATAACCACAGCCCCATGCTCCATCCACCAAAGATCGTCCTAGTGGGCTGCTGCTGCGTCAGGGCTTGTGTGCTCCCCGCGTCAGCTATGGCAAGGCACTCAGTGGAGCGTGGCTGCGTGTCTGCTTGGGCTGTGTGCTGTGCAGGCGGGTTGTTGGCGGAGGTGTGTGGGCCCGTGCCATGGTCCTGGCCCTGTTGCTGCAGCTTGGGCTTGGGCGATGGGCCGGGCTCGCCTCCCTCTTGATCCTCTTGATTTGCTGCTCGAGGTGGGGTTCGAGGGCATCAGCCGACATGGAGGCATCCTGTGCGGCGTCCGGCAGTGGCTGAAAGGGGTGCTGCTGTCGGTGGTGCTTGGCGGGGCCTGGGTGCTTGCGGCACTCTTGCCTGCTGGTCGGTGGGTCCGGAGCGCCCGGGCCGGCAGGGGATGTCGGTGGCAGGTGGTGCTGCAGTGTGTCGCTGTACTAGTTGGTGGAGCTCGGCCATGGTTGTGGGTAGCACAGGCGTTTGGAGTGTGGTTTGAATGGGTGTTGGGGGATGGTGGCTGCCATGTTGTCTGCAGGTGGGCCCTTGGTGTGGTGGGTCGTGGGCCACCGGGGATTGCTGCTGGAGCGAACATGACCAACAATACTTCATTCCCAATTGCCCCGGTAGATTAGATTCAGACGCCAAAGTCCGCACATGTAAGACGGTTCATTATCAGCGCTGGGAAAGATTTGGATGAGTGGGATCAGGCCAGCCGCAGGGAGATTTACATGAAGTCAGATTGGATTTTGCTTCCTAGAGAGATACGAAAGCAAGATAGAAAGTGCATTTACCTCGATGTACTTTGCCTTGTGAGACACATGCCTGGGTGAGATTGCAGAAATGGGAGATCTGCCGCTGCAACGAAGCAAATCAAACGCAAGAATGCCATGCACGCTGGAAGGACGCTCTCACCTCTTCGATGTACTCGTCCTCTGCGAGGATCAGCGGGGGAATTCCCTGCCAGAAGACAACTCTAGCATCTGAAGAATGCCCGCAGTCTAGAATCTAGAAGTGCATGTTACAATCGACAACCTCTGCAACGAACACCGAATGTCAGCATATGCCGGCGGTACATGCTGAGGCGACAAACGGTCAAATCATTCGACACAGGGAGGCCGCGAGAGGCGTGCTGGCCACGTGAATGCATTTGTGTTCTGCCCTGATGTCAGCTGCTACAGGTCCTCATGTGCATACAGAGACTGGTCCAGGATACCGATACCAACCCTGCCTTGTCTGGCTTTGCTTTGCAATGACATGATTAGCTTGTTTTGCACCTTGTCTCCACCGGGCCCACCGAGAGACCACTTGGACCCATCCTCGGCAACAGCCAGCGCGTCTCTCAGCCGCCCCACGCACGCAGACTGCGCAATTGTGATCATCATCCTCAACAACATCCTCATGGTCATGCTGCCGCAGCAGGCGAACTGCTTGCAGCAGCCACAGCAGCAGCAACAACGACGACGCTCGATCCATCGACCGACCGACCGACCAACCAACCAACTATCTAACCAAGCAAGCAAGCAATCAATCAACGCAAAAATGTGTGTCATCTGCACCTTCACCATCACAGTCGTCTTTGTCATTGCTGTTGTGAAAGGCGGCAGGCGGCGGCAGTGGTGGTGCTGCTGGCTGCTGCTGGTTGCTGCTGGCTGCTGCTGGCTGCTGCTGGCTGCTGCTGGCTGCTGCTGGCTGCTGCTGGCTGCTGCTGGCTGCTGCTTGGCTGCTGTGGCTGCTGCTTGGCTGCTGTGGCTGCTGTGGCTGCTGTGGCTGCTATGGCTGCTATGGCTGCTGTGGCTGCTGTGGCTGCT